CAAACAATACTAACTTACCATGTACTCAAGTCACTTCATGACCCGAATACTATAGTCGTATTAATATAAGCATTAGGTTAAGATTTACTCACAACTCAATTATTGCCTTTGGCTCTTGTCGTAGTTCCATCTTGCTCCATTCCCCTTTTAAGAGTTCGCATACACAATTTGATTTCAGTATATGGAGCTCATAAGTTTGTGCACATAAATGATAATCGTAAGCTAATTAGAGTCTATAACCCTAATAAACCCAACTAATTTTATAATAAGAAATCCAATTAATTTTTCTCCCGTACCCACGTTAACTCCTTTCCTCCCCATCTTTCTCCACTTTAAATATAAGTAAAGGTCACAAATTTGTCAATGCTTCCATTCCCCATTATAATCCATAATTAGCAGGTGTCTAGAAGTGATTCACCACACCAACCTTAACCATGCAAGCTTTCACACACAAGAACCAGGACATGTTTTTTAAGGGAAATTGAATGCTCAACATAGCCGCCACTTGCATGTGTGGCCTTGCATTAACATACACGTCCTTGTAATTAACACTTAATACAATTATATCATCACAAACAGTAACATGGATAATTTGGCATGCAAAACGTTGTGTAACCTAATTTCCTTCCCTTCATATTATTACCACTCGACCAGCCAATACCATCAAGCAAGTTAGAGGGAATACCTTGTATAATTCGTGAATTGCTTACTAATCCACACCATGCAACGATTCCCCTAACATCAGTAGTGAAGAGAAATACTAGAGGGTGATGATTTTGCTGGTATTTTAGATGGCAAAAGAGAAAGTTTAATCATAAGCGATTCACTCACTATCTCCCAAGAGAGCATCATACTGGCTCTCTTACTCTCCAGAACCACCATTTTCTCACTCTGCTTCAGAAAAAGAATGGCTATAGTTATCCATGCCACTTCCTATTCCCTCTTATAACACTAAATCTCTACAAGTAAAAGTGGCCACGTGGTTGGTCTTGGAAATGAATTGGGAATGGGGTCTTGCATGCAAAGGATGGAGGTGGCAGAGTGAATTAAAAGAGATGGACACTAGACCAAATAAGCCTTGTTCCATATCTTCGGTTAGTGGAATTTTCTAGGTGAAATGGGAGTGAGTTTGAACAGAAATTTATTATAATTAGTATCCGACAACATAAGAATCAAACATGGAATGGGTTTAATAAGTTTAGCTCATTTTTTTTAAAAAAAATTCCATAATAACTTATCGATTGGAAAACTAATAGTAAGTTTAACAATTTAACCTTCTAATAGTATTCGACATTGTCTTACACAACGCATATGTCACGACTAAAAGGGTGAGGGTGTGACAATTCCTCCCCTCTAAAATAAATTTCATCCCGAAATTTACCTCGGGACAGACATCGATATGAAACATCCATAGTAGTTATTACCGCTATGTCATGTATTATAACCCCTTTTACCTGAGGTGGTGGGGAAGGCTGCTTCCATCGGAACTGAACTCCACATGACGAATACTTTAAACCACATGATATATATCCCAGAATCATATCCCAGCTCTGATACCACAAATTGTAACACCCTTACACCATTGACACGTCACTAGCAATAGTTTCTTATACCGAATAAAAACATGTGGAGAGTTCAGTTCCGCCATCCACCTCACGACAACCGACTTGTCTTCTTCTATCACGATCCATTTGAATCTGGGAAAAAAATATTGACGGGGGTGAGACGTCACTCAATGAGTAAACAATAACCTAATACAAACATCAATACCAAAATAGTAACGAGTGATGTTGTACCCCCGAAGTACTTCTCCTATCATCCATGACACATTCATATCACTTACCCTACTGTAACAACCGACAATACATAGTCATTTTCAAGCATGGTCTCACAACACATGCCATATACCACATCACAGATAGATCACGACACAAGAGATTTCATTCGATAACACACACATCTATTCATTTCATCATGCACTCCAATATCATATCAATGTAGTAAACGCATAGAAAACCATCACATAACTATATCATCCACATGCACATTTTGTATATAAGATCATAGGAAGTCATTACATAATCTCACCATAGGAAATCCTTATACAAGGATTCAATCACATCACGGTTAGGTTGATTCAGTGGCTTTTACTTCATTAGCTTGTCAAATCATACACTCTTCCAAGATATAGGAATAGGGATTAGCATTGGTTCTAATAAAACTTATCACCGCGGAACGTATCTCAGCCCGGTGCCATTATACCACTGCGGGACGTACCCAGCCCAGTGTCATCATATCACATACCACCGCGGAACGAATCACCGTCCGGTGTCATCATACCATGTTCTCCCTTTTCCCATATCTTGTGTTGAGTGTATAACAAGGCAAGCATTATTTGGTTTAGGTGACCATGCAATAACATTTCCATGTATGCCAATAAGGCCAATCAATTTCCCTTTCATATACAGATAGTATACTTTTAACCATCTTCTGACCTTCCTCATTCATGTACCTTATAGGTCATTCCATATTCTAATCATGCACTTTCGTTCTAGGCAAGGTATGCCTATCATTTCACTTTAGCACCTCAAATGTTACTCCCTATTTCATGTACCCGATATCTCATTTTATATCATATCGTCATAGCCCATATATCATACCGAAAACCACCATGCAATATATTATACAATACATGTCACATACCAACATGATCATTCAAGTAAATATGCACACATGCAAAGTCATCATCCATTTTCATACAAACAACACTATGATATCACACGAATCAAACAATACTAACTTACCATGTACTCGAGTCACTTCATGACCCGAATACTATAGTCGTATTAATATAAGCATTAGGTTAAGATTTACTCACAACTCAATTATTGCCTTTGGCTCTTGTCGTAGTTCCATCTTGCTCCATTCCCCCTTTTAAGAGTTCGCATACACATTTGATTTCAGTATATGGAGCTCATAAGTTTGTGCACATAAATGATAATCGTATAACCTAATTAGAGTCTATAACCCTAATAAACCCAACTAATTTTATAATAAGAAATCCAATTAATTTTTCTCCCGTACCCACGTTAACTCCTTTCCTCCCCATCTTTCTCCACTTTAAATATAAGTAAAGGTCACAAATTTGTCAATGCTTCCATTCCCCATTATAATCCATAATTAGCAGGTGTCTAGAAGTGATTCACCACACCAACCTTAACATGCAAGCTTTCACACACAAGAACCAGGACATGTTTATTTTAAGGGAAATTGAATGCTCAACATAGCCGCCACTTGCATGTGTGGCCTTGCATTAACATACACGTCCTTGTAATTAACACTTAATACAATTATATCATCACAAACAGTAACATGGATAATTTGGCATGCAAAACGTTGTGTAACCTAATTTCCTTCCCTTCATATTTACCACTCGACCAGCCAATACCATCAAGCAAGTTAGAGGGAATACCTTGTATAATTCGTGAATTGCTTACTAATCCACACCATGCAACGATTCCCCTAACATCAGTAGTGAAGAGAAATACTAGAGGGTGATGATTTTGCTGGTATTTTAGATGGCAAAAGAGAAAGCTTAATCATAAGCGATTCACTCACTATCTCCCAAGAGAGCATCATACTGGCTCTCTTACTCTCCAGAACCACCATTTTCTCACTCTGCTTCAGAAAAAGAATGGCTATAGTTATCCATGCCACTTCCTATTCCCTCTTATAACACTAAATCTCTACAAGTAAAAGTGGCCACGTGGTTGGTCTTGGAAATGAATTGGGAATGGGTCTTGCATGCAAAGGATGGAGGTGGCAGAGTGAATTAAAAGAGATGGACACTAGACCAAATAAGCCTTGTTCCATATCTTCGGTTAGTGGAATTTTCTAGGTGAAATGGGAGTGAGTTTGAGCAGAAATTTATTATAATTAGTATCCGACAACATAAGAATCAAACATGGAATGGGTTTAATAAGTTTAGCTCATTTTTTTAAAAAAAAATTCCATAATAACTTATCGATTGGAACACTAATAGTAAGTTTAACAATTTAACCTTCTAATAGTATTCGACATTGTCTTACACAACGCATATGTCACGACTAAAAGGGTGAGGGTGTGACAATTCCTCCCCTCTAAAAAAATTTCATCCCGAAATTTACCTCGGGACAGACATCGATATGAAACATCCATAGTAGTTATTACCGCTATGTCATGTATTATAACCCCTTTTACCTGAGGTGGTGGGGAAGGCTGCTTCCATCGGAACTGAACTCCACATGACGAATACTTTAAACCACATGATATATATCCCAGAATCATATCCCAGCTCTGATACCACAAATTGTAACACCCTTACA